CCCCAAAACCCCAAAACCCCAAAACCCCAAAACCCCATCAATTCTTTCGGTGATTGAAATTGCAAACTCAGCTTAAATATTTTTTTTAATCCGGAATTATCTAGAAGAATTATTCAGGTGAAATTAATGAATTTTAATAATCTTTTGGATGCTTCTCATCGCTCATTTCTTTCATCTCGTATTTATACTCAACCTCTGAAGAATAGAGCATCTTTAGCTCTTCTTTAGATTTTCCCTTACTTTCTTTAACAAAGAACAATATGAAAAGCCAGCCAACAATGTTAATCCCTGCGAACATGAAGTAGAGTCCTTTCTGACCGAGACAAAGGATCATCCTTGGAGTAATAAGTGATATTAGAATGGTCAAACTCCAGCATACTACTAAAGCCATTGAAATTCCTATCTCCGTCATAATTTCTGCGGCATATAAAAATAATACTGACCCTACACCTATTTCGAAAAACGCGATAAAGGTTACGGTGAAAAGAATAATAAGCATATTATCATTGAAGACAGCACAAATGCCTAAAGCTACGAGGGAGACTAACATGCCTGTATGGCCTATCAGGAGTAGTACCTTCCTGCCTAATCTGCCCAGGAGAGGGATTGTAACCATAGTCGCAGCCCAGTTCACAATACCAACTATCATTGTCCCTGTTCTGGCTTCAACTAAATCGTTGTAAGTCTGCCTTCCAGGTACTGATCCTGATACGAACACTTTATTAGAATAAAATATGACAACATTTATTCCAGTTAATTGCTGAAAGGCTGCCAGTAGTCAGCCAATTACAAGAGCCCACCTAAACAAAGGACTGCAATGTTTAGAAACAGGAACTTTTTCTTCCTTTTCTACTTCCTTTTTTGGTAGATTATTTTTCTGGTGAATATCTGGATCAATTTCTAATTCAACCTAAACAGTCTTATCCTATGAACCTACCTTCCTAGCCATGACTTCGTTCCCAACCTGGCGGTAATATTTTGGAGTGTCGTATTTGAAAACAAATAATAAAAGAAGTGAATGTGTTATAGCTATTATTCCCGGAATAATAAAAACATATCTCCAAGAGTTTGTTGACAATATAGCAGGATTTTCCTTTCCTTCAGGGGTTAGTTTTAGTGGAGCAAGGTATCCCATGAAATATCCAATCATTATTCCCACAGTTCACATAATCTGACTTAAAGTTCCAAGAGGCCCAGAGAGCTCAACAGGAGATACCTCTGATATAAAGAGAGGTGTAAGCACTGATAGGACTCCAACAGAGTAACCAACTATTAGTCTTCCGATCAAGAGTGCAAAGAAGTCAAGGATCATCGTGATTGCTGTACCGACTCACAAGAGGAAATTAATAAGAATTATTCCTTCTCTCCGACCAATAGAGGCAATAATACCACCAGTAAATGCTCCAAGGGCTGCTCCAACAGGCACGGCTGTGGTTATTACAGAGTTAAAGTCGTTTTCATTTTTTATATAAGAGTTAGCTTTGACATCATGTTGGTTATGAAGAATGTCAAGGAAAGAAGAGAACATTACGTTACAGTATCCCATCTGGAACATTCCAATGCCAATAGTAATCATCCAGCTCCATAGAAAGATTAAGTTCATATTTTTAGATTTATTATATTCAACATCTTCCTGCTTATATGGGGTTTTGGGGTTTTGGGGTTTTGGGGTTTTGGGG